AGCCAGAAATATGAGCAGATTTGAACTTATTCTTGAAGTGTGACCTCATTAGCAGTGTACCTCATTGGGCTAGTCACATAATCTGCAAAAAAAACACAATGAAAAAGATCACATTCAATAATTAGTCCACGTAACACCGCTACAGAGTGCGTTAAATAGTAACAAGGCTAAAAAAAAGTGAGTGGACAGCAATAGACACAAATGAGCCAAAAAGTACATCAAACTCACGGATTAATACAAGAAACTCACATTGTGTGGTTAGAGAAGGGAATGGGGTTCAGCTGCTCCTTTAAGTGTGAGATAAAGACATATGGGGAAGAAGAGCAGTGGAGTGAAACATTGGGGGTGAAAGAGCCAAACTAAAGCAAAAGTGGACCTGGAATGTTAAACGCAGTGTGAGTGCAGTCCAGGGGGGCGTGGAGGCATTCATGTGTTTCCCACTGCTAAAGCTGCCATGCCCAGTATGAGGATGACCTAAGCGACTTTGAACGAGGGTTCATTGTAAGGGCATGGTTGAAATGAGCTTCAGTCATAAAACTACTCAGCTGGATAGTTTTTCCATTAGCAGCTGTGACCGCAAAGGCCTCTGTATTTAGATTTACAGGAAGGATGTCAGTAAATGTGAACCAACTCCTATTTTTTTGATGACCGTACCTAATTGATGTCAGAAATTGTGGTTTGGCACTGTGATCACATGTACACTGCGTCTGTGTGATGTGTTGAGGTCAGTGCAGTACGCTTCAGCAAAACTAGCCATCAAGAGTTAAATAGAGAAGGATATTTAATAAGGCTGCAATGCATAAATGCACATGTAAGAGTTTACTCCTCAGTGGAGATGTGGGGAAAGGAGATGTGGTCAGATACATCATCCTTCACTGTGGTCCAGCATGTTTGGCCCCTACAGTGACGGGATGCTGATGGTATTTTGCTGCCATGTTTTAGTTTCCACTTGTCTCTTCAGAGAGAAGAGGTCACAGCAAATCGATACAGAGTTGCCCTGGGTGATCACCTTTATCCTATGATGAAACATTTCCATCAATGATAACTGTCCTTTTTAAATCTTTTTTTTTTTTTTTTATCACAAAGATGGTTCTCCCATCTCCAGGGCATCGGGGGTCAGGCAGTGGTTTGATGATAATGGCATGGATTGTTTGCTATATCTTCATGTTTCAAATCTGCCAGTTAAAGGTTAATGAGATTTTAGGCTGGTGTGTCAGGCAGAATTCTTAAGATCATCAAAACACCAAAGAAAGGATGTATTTTTGGAAGAATGGTTTTCTTTTAGCTCCAACCATTTAATGCAACTGTTTAATGCAAACATTGCCATGTTAAGTGTGGGCCTGTGAGAGAGAATCAAAATTATATTTCACCATTTCAAGGAAACTTGTGATAATAATATTTCTAATGGTCTAGGAGAAAAATACTGAGGGATTTATTAGTGATGGCAGCTTGCATTTAGCTGCATTTATTAGTGCAGATAGAATGAAGGGCATTTCCATCTTTCTTTTCCACTCCTGTCACTGATGACAGAGTCTAATGTGAAGAATGACATTATCAAGGTGGAGCAACATTAAAGTCCAATACTACTGACACAGCATCAGTCAAGTGTGAGCACGGTAATCTGGGTAGTGTTATCCCTGGGAATTTGAACTAAAATTATAAAATAATCTCTTAACAATACCTTACGTATCTTAATCTTAGTCTCTGCAAGAGTTGCTGCACAATATTCTCACATATTGAAATTGAAAAAAAATTTTTTTCCTGTTGTATTTTGGGTCAATCTTTTTAAACAGGTACTGAAAGCCCTCTTCTTTTTGTTTTTCTATCAGGATTCTCTGTCTGTCTGCTTTCCCTGGCATATGGTGCGCTGCTAGTGATGCTCGGTGGGGTCTTTTGTTTATGTTTGGGTTGCGCATCGCCAGCTGTTAGCATCTTGTTCTCTCATTCCTTCATAACCTGGTTCACTGACGCCACAAAATGTCACATAAAACTGATACTCTTCTTATCGTGGACAGTGTGATGTGGCACAGCTCTTGTCACGTGTTTGCTAAAGTTCTTGTTTTCAAGGTCATTTTTACTGAAGTCTTTCTGAATTCAAATACTTCTATTGTTGTTTTATTTTTAAGTCCTGATCACCAACACTGAATGAATGTGATCTCTTACCAAGAATCAGTATTCATGTAGATGACTGAAAATCTCCTTTCTTGTCATCCTCTTTCCAGATGAGGGTTACTACCAAAGTGGAAGGTTTCAATTTGAAATAGATGTCCCTGAAGCCTATAACATGGTGGTGAGTAGTCAAGTTTCTCTCCTGTGGGCTGGTTTGAAAAGCACATTTCTGTGCCCGTGGGTGTCTCTGTGTTAGCCTGCTCACCTCTTCCTTTTGTTTGTTCTTTCACTCATTCTTTTCCTACCAAGCATTTATTCTGATACTCTTCTGTGTAAGTGTATTTATTCTGTGTTGTTTTTCTCCCTTTGCTCTACATTTTTTCACACAATCATTATTTGCTCCACACAAGTATATGCAGCACTTCATAATAGCTTCACAAATCCTTCTGCATAAAAAAAGCAATCATTTTAGATCATTTAGATCTTAATGTAAGGAATGTAGTAATAATAATAATAATAATGCATTTTATTTATAGGCGCCTTTAAAGGTCACCTTACATTAGTGCAACAAAATAAAAACATGAGGTAAATGAAAAATAAAAAATGTATGAAAGTATAAAAGCTCAACAAGGTAAAAAGAGACTAAGACGGAATCATCATGAAGGGTATGCAATTTTGAATGGATGGGTTTTAAGACGTGATTTAAAAGTAGAGAGTTTGTAGTCTGGGGGTCTGGTGGAAGTGCATTCAACGTCTCAGGGCAGAATAACTAAAGGCTCTGACTCCCATGGTAGTCAGGTGAACAGGTGGAACAGATGGAAGGGAAGCTAAAGAAGAGCGGAGTGTACGAAGTGGTGAGTGCGTATGGAGAAGATCAGATGGATATGGAGGAGCGAGGTTATGAAGCGCTTTGAAAGTAAGAAGCAGGATCTTGAAATTGACACGGAGGTGAATTGGAAGCCAATGGAGTTGTTTAAGTCTAATTCTGAAAATAATACATGCAGCTGTATTTTGAACTAACTGCAGTTTAAGGAGAGATTTATGAGGTAGACCATAGAGAAGTACAGTAATCTAAACAAAATGTGACGAGCATTGGCAAGTATGGCAGTACTGTTTGGAGTGAGTGAAGGTTGAAGGCGGTTAATAATACGAAGATGAAAATAAGTTTTGATTTGGTTCCTGTTAGAATAAATTCTGGGAGCTTTTTGCCATTAAGTTTAAGAAAATTGTGAGTAAACCAAATCGAGATTTCTCTTAAACAATCAGAAATGGATGTGGGTGGGAGAGTAGCTGTGGGTGTGGAAGATAAGTAGAGCTGGGTAGGGCTGCCACAAACAATTATTTTGATAGTCGACTAGTCACCGATTATTTTTGCGATTAGTTGACTAATCAGATCATCATCCATTGGACATACAACGTACAGCTTATTGCACCAGCAGCATCTGCTCTTATATAACTATCATTAGCTTACAGCTTTAAGTGTTTAAGGTGTGTGCTAACTAAAAATAAAGACAAGATGATAGTTTATTAAATTTTAATGACATTTGCAGATTGTTTCGTTGGAGTTTAATAAACTCAGCCGTCTGCTCCTTGCTAACTAAAATATAACAGGACACTGGAGTAAATTCTCAAGCATCTCACACTTCTGATAATCAGCTGTCTGATTGACGTTTATTCAGCTGTGTAAAAACTATAACTTTATTTCTCAGCCAAACCGATTTACTCAGGAACAAATAAAACACTAAAAAAAAGCCAAACAATAACATTTTTCAGTTATCTAAGTGATTTTAATAATTGACATAATCACGACTAGTCGACTAATCGTGGCAGCCCTAGAGCTGGGTGTCGTCTGCATAGCAGTGAAATTGGATGTTATATTTCTTGAAAATATTACCTAAGGGTAGGAGATGGATAATAAAGGGTAAAGGACCCAGGACAGAGCCCTGGGGTACACCAGAGTTAACTGGAGTAGATGGGGATCTGTGAGTGAGTAATTGAACAAACTGTGAACGGAAACAGAGATATGAGGTAAACTAGGCGACTGTTAAGATGCAAAACTGTTGCCTACATTTATTACTGGCTTGACTCCAGCAGTTAAACTGAACTATCTTTACAAATGATATGATGCACTAAATTAATAATTGCTGTATCTTAGTAAGGTTAGTTGTGAGTCTGTGCTCGCAGGTTGTAAATATGGCTTTCTCCTCATGGTAGAGCCAGAATAAAGTCGGGGGTTAGAGACGGAATTAATGAACACATAAATACACTCATACATGCTGTTTATGGAGCAAATTACAATTCTCAAATAAAATCTTTATACATCAGTAGTATAAATTTCAAAACTTCTACGTTGCTCATTCTTGAGTTATCATATTGACAAACTTGCATGTCCGCATCGCCCGCTCGGCAGGCTGACTATAATACTCTGTCAGCCTTTTACGGCTGAGGGCTAAACACCTGTTAATCATGAAAAAAAAACCTGCTTTTAATTTTGACATGTATCTCTGACCTGAAGCGAGGCTTTCTTATGAGCTGTGTAGCTGTAAAATCTTGCTCATGGACAGATCCTTCCTGAATAATCACCAAGAAAAATAATTTCCATGAACAGTTAATCAGATCGACCTTACGACTCAAAATGTCAGCTGTTAGGGGAATAATAAGTGGGTTTATTCATTATCAGACTGACACTCACGTCTTTTTAAAAACACATTCTTTCTAATCTGAGCTGATACAAATGTTCACCTTGCTGTTGAACAAGAAGTTCTTGATTATAGGTTTTTAAATGTAAAAAATAATCTGCTAATTTCAAATGGCCTAAAATGTTACATTAGTTGATCTATTGATAAACTTTAACTGAAACACAATCATAATTAATGGTCAGTCATTAAAGGACAGTCAGTTGCACTGTGCTTTTCTAGTCTTACTGACCAGTTAAACAGTATTACAACACAAGCAAAGAGAAGCATTTTCAATAACTGTTAGATTTGTTCCAGAAATACCCCCTCACTTTACTGTAATCCAGTTCCTGTTAGATGTGAAGTATCAATACTTGTTTATGTTTAATAGCTTTGTCGTCTCCAAATGCAATAGTTGGTTGTCACATGTAGGTACTCAAAATGTCAAGATGGGATTGACATCAGTGTAAGACTTAACTTCATGATACAGAAACAAGTAATTTGAGAAATTAAATCCATATAATTAAATTCTCATCAGAACCACATCACATAGCTGCTGGTATAAAGTTTTGTAGATATCAGGACATCAGAATGATTCTACAAATATGTGCAAGGATGCAGAAAAACAGTCTTTATTTCATCAGTGTACTTGCTTATTGTCAGTTTGATGTTTTCATTACAACACACGGTTTGTTGCAGACATAATTATAATTATCACTCAAGTCACTCCGACTTATCGGGGTGAAGTGAACAGTGTGTGTCATGCAACAGCGTTTCTTCATTTTCAAGTATTTATGAGTGCAATCTCTTTGTAATAAGCTGTTAGTCATAAAAAGTGCGATAAGAAATATTTCTTTTTTTGGCTGTACTTGAAAATAGGGTGTTGTGACTTGCTGGGGGCTACTGTATATTACTCTTTTTTTCATAACAAAATGGCTCCAGACAAATAGCATTATAGGAAAAAGAAAGTAGCCATCAAGTCCAGAATGGGGAAGCTTAAACCCGTTTAAAAAAATCTGATTAGCAAAAAGTTTGTTTTTGTTTCGGACAGAAATAGAATCAACAGCAACTAATTATTATTATTATTATTAACAACAACAACCCACAACCACAACCACAACCAACAACAGTTTAAAAATAAGAACAACTGTGCAGGAGAGGTTAGGAAGACCATAAGGTTTTATAAGGCCACCTCCCCTATAACATTAACAGGTTAGCAGGAGAAACAGATAAGTGACATACAGTAATTTACAAATATAATAAATATTCACATCATATGCTATTAGAAATTAACATTGGTTTTTATTGTTTTTTTGAAAGATTAAAATGCAGTTATCGACTGAAGAGCTGGTGGTGGCTTGTTCTCATATGAAGGTCCTCTGTATTTAAATCTATTTTGCCCAGTTAACGTTGTTCATAAGGGTAAACAAAAACCACAACAATGTCTTGTTGAATATGTACGTGCATCTGAAGTTGAAAAGTAGACGATAGTGTCACAGGAAATTAGATTTATTTATGTTTTTTCTCATCATGCTGCAGTAACGGGAGCTCTAAGCTAGAAACCTTCCTTACTGTCTTCTTTGTTTTTACTTACTTAATTCAAACATCATCTTTGAAACCACTCCTGTAAAGCTACAATAAAATTCTAATTACATGATTTTACTGTTTTTACAGTGGCCTATGTCACATTTGCTAACAAAGGAAAGAGGTCAGAAAAGTCAATAATGCTTTACTAGAAACAGCGGGACACGAGGCACGTGCACCAAAGGCTCAGACGCATCCTCGTTGCCCAGAAATGATGACTAGAGCATTTTTGGACACTCTGCTGGGTTTTGTGTGCTCTGCTTTTTAACTGCTGTTTGCACAACACGATTCAAAAAAGAAACAATACTCATTTAACATGATTCCTCTGTTTTTATTTTCTGGTTGAGGGTTTTCTTTCTTGGACATTTCTCTGTGTCTGAGTCTTGTCTGTCATCTAATGAAATTTAGTCTGATTAATTAAGTTGGTTTAGAAGTGATGCTCAGGTAACTTGGGAGACTAATAGGAAGTAGAAATGGACTGCTTTTAAAACATCACATAATGTTAAAATAATCAGATAACTTAAATGTGTCTCTTCCTAAATTGTTGGTTTGTTGGTTTCCAGCCTCCTAAAGTGAGATGTCTGACCAGAATATGGCATCCCAATATCACGGAGAATGGAGAAATCTGTTTGAGGTAAATTGTGTGTACCCTTCCCCAATATTACTTCTTCCTAGCGCGTGACATTTTATCTCATGTTGTCATTTTCTATTTAGCCTAGAAATTGATAGAAAACCAAAACTGAAAAATAATTTCTCTGAGCCCTCATTCTTTGAGAATCCTCGACAATGCATGCAAATGCAAAAAAAAATTAGTAGTCTACAGTAAAAAAAACAAACATTGTGCATTAAAAAGCTCACACAAAGCATCTTACATAAAGCGCAAGCATTTACAGTATTGCAGATACTCTAGCTGTGTATCTCTTTTTTCTTCTGCAGCTTATTGCGGGAGCACTCTATTGATGGCACAGGCTGGGCCCCCACTAGAACATTAAAGGTAAAGTGTAACTTTTTCTTCAGTAGAATTTCCTTTTCTTTGTTTTTGCTGTGTAATTGAACTTTGGGGTCATCATCAGTGTTTTATCTGTGGGCTAGGGGTTCAATTCAAGTCCTGTTACAAAGATGTGGCTCAAAGGTGTGATGAAAGGTGCAGTTTGCTGATGTCAGCAGTGCCTGTCTTACTAGAATTGGACTCTGATGAAAAAAAGTTTGGACCCTTCTAATTGCTACATCATAATATTTATGAATCTCTCCTTAGCTTTTGATACCATTGCAATGTACCCAAAACTCAGCAAACTATCTGGATAATAACAGGTCAATTTTCTCCGTCAGAGACCAACATGTGGTGGTCGTAGTCTGCCAAGCATGTTTGAAACCCAAAGCTTTTGTTTTGCTCTGTTCCTGCTATGAAGCGCACAGATATCTTCATTTATATGTGAATCAAAATTAAACTTAATGCTATTATTTTTTTCAAGACTATTTCAACTAACTATATAACTTATATCGTGCTGAACCCTTGGAGGGAAATATTGATGCAATGCTAATTTTTAAGAAATGTGGACACTGTAACATGTAAATTAAAGCAAAATACAGTGATTTGCAAATCTCATAAAACCCATATTTTACTCGCAGTGAAATGTAGAAAACATCAGATGTTTAAACTGAAATAATGTCCCATTTTCAGAAAAAAATAGTCATTTTGAACTCTATGGGAGAATCGTGCGTCAAACATTAGGACGGACCCAGCATGTCTTTTTTTTATTTAACAGTCTGTAAACATCTGGGAACTGAGGAGGGGCGCTGCTAGACTTTGGGGAGAAGGAGGTTGACGCAGTCTCGTCTGAGCGAGGATTCTTGCTGCTCAGCAGTCCCTGGTCGTCCTTGTCCAATTTTTTTTTTTTTTTTTTCATTTCATGACGAGCTAAATGTTTTTAAAAGGTAAAATGTCTGGAATGTAAGTTGGCCAGTTCATCGCCCAGACTCTTCTGTGAAGCCGTGTTGTTGTAATAGATGTAATGCGCAGTTCTGCTTCCTCTTGCTGATTATCCTGAGTATGAATATGTAAGGTTTTGCTTAGATAAATGGGAGCAGATGTTCCTCTAAAACCCATGTCACCCTATATCATCAAAGATCAAGAGTTTTGAACTGCAAGCCAGATGTCGTCAATTAATTTCAAGTCGTTTGACCACAGAACAGTTTTCCACTTTGCTTCAGTTCATTTTAATAAGCCTTGTCCCAGAGAACATGGTAGTCTTTCTGGATCACGTTCACACATGGCTCCTTCTTTGTATCATAGAGCTTTAACCTGCATTTGTGGATTGCACGGTAACTGTGTCCTGGACGTGTTCCTGAGCCCAGGCAGTAATTTCCATGACAGAATCAAGCCTGTTTTTAATGCAGTGCTGCCTGAGGGCCTGAAGACCACGTGTTTGCACGCAGATATTTCTTTTGAAGGCGTTACGTACTGCAGATAATAAGATATTCAAAGTCATCACAAATTTAAGTGGAGCATCGTTATTCTGAAATTGTTCTTCTATTTGTAGACACTGTGTTTTTGCAGACTTGCAGACTGGTGAACCTCTGCCCATGTTTTCTGTGCTCTATTGGGAGTAAAATATGGGTTCATGAGTTTTGCAAGTGATTGTTTTCTGTTTTTATTTACTTTACACAGGAGTTGGGGTTGTACATGATTTCAAACACAAAAGACACGAGCATCACACTCCTTGACACACGAGCATCACACTCCTTGACACACGGTGTCTTTCACTTTCTTAAACTAACAAAGAGGCAGAAAAAATACAGCTCAGAGCTTTGGCATTCTCTCAGGACGCAATAAAGTGTTGCAGGGCCGTGGAAGATAAACTCCACAATAAAAAAGCTTTTCAGCTGCATGTAAAAGAAAGCCTTGACTTTTCATGCTTCACCCTTCACTCAATTTAGATTTTTTTTTTTTTTTTTTTTTTATCTCTTAAGAAAGAGTTACTGAAGACTCGAGCAAGGACGTCCTCCTCTAGCCCAATTCAAGATTGTCTGAAATAATGTCTGATAGAAACTATGGACTGAAACATAATGTAGTTGTACTTTCTACGTTAAATAAGATTTCTCTGCAGAGATTCAAGAGTATATAAAAATTGCTGTCACAAACTGCACTGGTATGCTCTTGTAGTTTTAGAAATATGCAAATGTATGCATTTGAAGTACTGGGTGGGCTTTCTTCCTCCAGTGCAGGATTTCCGAGTTTAGAGGGTCATTCACTAAATCCTCTTTGAATACCCTCGAGTTTCCTGTAAAGGCGCTTGTCGGAAGTTACTGTCAGGATTTGTCTTACCCTTTATTCCTGTTTTAGTGTGTGTGTGTGTGTGTGTGTGTGTGTGTGTGTGTGTGTGTGTGTGTGTCAATCCAGACTAGCTGCCTTCCTTTGCCTTTTGTTTTTGTTTTTTGCAGACATTGCTTTTATTCTTTACCTTCCTTCAAAGAAGACACATTCCTTTATTCTTGTACAAACACTTTGTTCATACTATTTGTCCTTGTACAATATGTCTCACATAGTTGAAACTCAGAGGCTGGTTATGTTTTCTTTTATTGGGTGATCATCATTACAGGTTTAGTATCCCCAGAGCATTGAATAAATGATGTTACATTATTCAGCATGCTCTCAGTCACAGTCGGTTAGGGGGGGAAATGTATAACGGGATCCAATGACTGTTATGTGTCTGCAATCAGGTTTCTACTAAGGATTCATAAAGGGAAATTATAGAAATGTAGGCTTATAACTTGGAGAAAAATAACTGTACAAAAGAACTGAATTATCTACTATTCTTCCGTGTACAACATGATTGTACAAGAATTAAAGAATGTGTCAAATCTACTTTTAACATCTACGAAACAATGTACACTTTGGAAAAAAATGTGCGTTATTTTATTTTCTTTTTTTAGCTGCTTTTATGGCAGTAAGTCTGGTGGCCACCGCTGCTGTGATCCAAAAATGTCCAATGTTGATTTGCGGACAGCAGGACATCTTTAACTCCCACAATCTTAAATGAGCTGGGTCAGATAAATCCTTGTCATTGTTTCTTTGTAGAGTTATTACCTTGAATCCGTGAATGTCGTTCACTGAAAATAGTTAGCAGGATTCCTGAAAAGAGTTTCTGAGCGCACAGAGTGATTTCACCAACCATATCTTTTCTTTTTTTTTTCCCTTTATTGTAAATGCAGTGCTGCCTGAAGGCCTGGAGATCATGGCTATTCAACATTGGTTTTGTCCCTTATAACCAGGCATTTCTGTTGAATTTCTAAAACTTGAATTAGATTAGGTACCACAGTCAGTGAATTACTTGCAGTTTTAACGTTGCTTAACAATTTGAATATCTAATTCAATATTCCAGAAAGTAGTGAACACTTTCCATTCTTTACCTCTTCATATGCAGCCGTGTTACTTATGACCTGTGGTTGGTTTTAAAAAATGTTTCAGGTATTTTTTTCCACATTTGATAAAAAATAAATGTTGGGTCTGTGTTTCCACAACCCCCGCTGGTTTAGAGACTTATTCATCATGAAGAAAACAAGACAGTCAGTGATCGATCGATTTACTTGCAAGGGAGGCCTCGTCGGTGTCTACCACGAAAATGACCCCAATGACGGCCTCCTCTCACTGCCTTTTATTGGGAAAGCAGTTCACACAATACACATCATACACTCGATTATTTGACGATATTTATTTAACAATAACAATGTATTGAATAATAACTTTAAAGATTGTCAAAAAATAATATAAAATAGTGTGCAAATACTGATAACAGTGCAAATGTTTGCAATATAAAAAATAAATGAAAAATGTAAACATCTATGTTTAGTGAACTTTGCAGTGTTGCTCTGTGGAGCAGCTACAACACTGTGGCAAAGTTTACACACTGTGTCTGCTTGATCCACGTCTGACTCCGCGAACCCATAATGTTTCCAAACCATTGAAGGTTTTTTTTTTACCTCCCTTTTCAACCAACAGCAGTCACTCTCCTCTCCAAATAACTTCTGCTTAGCTTTCCGAGCTTCCATCGGGTCCTCTTAATTGTTGTGACGCAGAGAGGTGCGCTCGATTTGCCACACGGAGCAGCGCGAGAGTAAAGCACGAGGGAGGTGCTAATAATCGGCTCAGTCATTTTTAATGATCGTTGAAAGCCCAGATCATAATTTAGATTAAAATTCGATTAATTGAGCAGCCCTAGTGTGAACGTGTGTGTGTGAGTGTGTGAGAGAGACCTCCTGCTGACCAAAGGGTCATAAAAGCAGGAGCAACATCACAAGAAACAGATCTTCCAGATAGGATGTATCTGCAATAAAACACTACAGCCCCCCCAGAACCTCGAGAGCCTGGGGAGAATCAGAATCAGAAAGGGGTTTATTGCCAAATGTTGAGCAGGTTTACAACAGGGGACAAAAGAATGAATTCCTTTCATCACAGAGTTAAAACAATGTAGAAATGGTAAGCATAAAAATGACAACATTTAACAATTCACTCTAACATTTCCCTCCTGTTTTGTTATTTTTATGCTCCAAATTATTCCTGTGTAGTAGATTCTAGCCATGCACCTCTTGCTTGACATTTTCAGCGCAGGCGTCATTTATACACAGGCTTCTGTCATGTCATTCATTTCAGTCATTTCATATTGTTGTAAAAGTACATAATTAACACATGTATTAGACATCATTTTAGTTAGCATTGATCTTATACACGGTAAAATGCATCCTATACATAAGCAAATCAATGTCAACAGTCCAAAAACAGGAGTTAATATTTTCAAAAGAAGATGCCACCAAGGATCAGACAATAACCAAACTATCCAGCCTTGTGGTGCATCTACTCCTGTCGTGCGATTCATCATGCATTTCTGCAAGTAAACAACTGAATGTCAACATTCGAACAAGAAGAATCAACATTCTCAAAAATCATATGTCACTACAATCCAACTGTATACAGACATAGGCATTCACACACATCAG